CGCTCTTCCGATCTTTGAGCATAACCGAGTTAACACACTGGAGTCCCTGCACCTGCTGCCCGGCGCCCGCGGCGCCCGCGGCCGCGCCGCCAACCGGACCCTGAGCGCCGGCGCCGCTGCCGTCGGGGGCCGGCGGCCCGGGGGTGCCCTGGCCAGGGGCGGCCGCGAGCTGAACGGCACCGCCGCCCGGGCGCCCGGCGGACCGGAGGCGGGGAGCCGGCGGGGACAGCCCGCGGCGGCGGTGGCAGCGGCCAGCGCGGCCGTCAACTACGAGACGTGCTGGGGCTACTACGACGTGAGCGGCCAGTACGACAAGGAGTTCGAGTGCAACAACAGCGAGAGCGGCTACCTGTACTGCTGCGGCACCTGCTACTACCGCTTCTGCTGCAAGAAGCGCCACGAGAAGCTGGACCAGCGCCAGTGCACCAACTACCAGAGCCCCGTGTGGGTGCAGACGCCCAGCACCAAGGTGGTGTCGCCGGGGCCCGAGAACAAGTACGACCCGGAGAAGGACAAGACCAACTTCACCGTCTACATCACCTGCGGGGTTATCGCCTTCGTCATCGTGGCTGGCGTCTTCGCCAAGGTCTCCTATGACAAGGCCCACCGCCCTCCGCGGGAGATGAACATCCACAGGTGAGAGAGTGTGCGTGCGAGCGGCCGCCCGGGCCAGTCCCCGGGTCCCCAGTCCCCAGGTGCCCTGGGTCCGGGTCCCCAGCCTCCCGCTGAGCCTCGCCCCTCTTAACGTGCATCCCGGTCTGCTTCACACTTGGCGCCACCAAGTCGCTCTGACTCTCTGAGACCAGTTTCTCCCTCACTTGCTTCCTTGATGTGCAGATAAATCACAGCTTTCTTATTTCCACCCTTTCTTCAGAGTCCAGAATGCATGCTTTGGTGGTAGGGGAGTTACGGGGCAGAGTAAGGATCAGTGGGGTCCCCCAAGTTTGAGCCTGGGATTTTATGAATTCCATAACCCTGGATGGGGGATGGGGTGGGGTCCGGGGTTCAGTTTTCAGGGCAAGTGGGCACTTTGGGGTAGGCTCCTCTTGGCTTTGGCTTTCTGAGTCTAACCAGCACATCCTCTTTGGTCTAGGATCGTGAACAATGTTGGAACCTTACAGGAGGGAGTATCAAGTGATTTAGTATAAGCTGGGTGTTCCCCATGTGGGGACAGGGTGGGGGGGTGGTATGGAAGGGACGCCTTCCCCAGTAAGAAGGGGTAAAAAATTTCTCCATTCCATGTTGACCAAGAGCAGATGGTGTCTCTTCACTGCCTCCTTGCCCAAGTGGGATGCTTATTTTCCTGCCGAGACTGGAGGACTTGGTCTTTCAAACCCCGTTGGCAGAATGCTCTGAGTTAACACGCTTGCTGTGTTAAGCCCGGTGGACAGCTTTTACCGCTTACTTTTGGGGGGGGGTGACGGGGGCAGCCTCCCCGGGAAACTTATGGCAAGAGCTCGAAATATGGCAAAGCACAGCCCCATCCTGACTGCCTCCCACCCCAGGGCCCTGGCTCCCAGGGAGTCCTTAGGGAAGTCGGAGCCCAGAGAACAGGAAACCAGCCTCTCTCCCCAAGTCAGGGACCGTTGCACCCAGAGGAGGCAAAGTTAGCTCAGCTTCCAGTCCCCTCGTGATGATGAATGGCTGGACCTGGTTCAGCAGAGTCAGGGAACAAATCCTGCCCCAGGACATGCCTCCATTTTTGGCACGGGGTGTGAGCCCTGCCTGGGTAACCAGGACCCCCTCCCCCAGACCAGTCCTGCTTCTGCGTGTGCCAAGCAGACCCCCACCCAGAACCACACAGCTGAAACTCATTTCTATTCTTTCGGCCTGAATGCCTTCTTCCCTTGCCGCTGTGGACATTAATCAGCCGTACCTTGATGAAGAGAGAGAAAGGCAGATAGAAATTTCTGGGCATGATTTTTTTTTCTTCCTTTGAAGATGTTGAGAAAAGATGATACTCCCTGGCAGGTTTTATTGAGTCAAACGCACGACGTGTGGGTATTTCAATAGTGACATACATACTTGGGTATCAGAACTGTGTGTTTCCAAAAGCAGACCTGTGTATAATTCCTCACTCGTCACCCTAAGGGGCCACTGTCCCCCATTCCCCACCCCCCCCAATATCTTATCTTTTAGGTAGTGAGTCTGTGCCTGGCTGGTCCCGGGCATGGGTGGAGGAATTGTGAGAAATGGGATGCGGGCAGTCTGTATCTCCTTGGGGTCTGGTCTGGTGAAGGGTTCTCCCTCGTGGCTCACCTTGGAAAGCAGAAAAGTCATAGCCTGTGGGCAGGCACCTTCCAGAAGCAGTTGTACTCGGTCCTTCCTCTGCCTACCTCCAGGTGCCTTTTCCTGGGCTCCTGGCCACTCATCCCACATTCCCTTGCTCTGGTTTCTTTCTTTTCTGGGCTGCCCCCTACCCTGCCCTCATACCCCCCTATTGAATGTATTTATCATCCCCTGGGAGGATACTGGTGATGGTCTTTGGATGCTGGTGCTGGCCTCTGTTCTGCTGGTTTGTGACCCTGAATGTGTCACTGTTCCTTGGGGTGTTTTTCCCCCTCCCCATCACGGCAAGCCCACGCCCCCAACCCCGGACTAGGATAACTTGTTTGTGTACAGGTGTGAGGCTCAGGGACTGGTGATGGTGTTGGAGCAGTTTCCCTCTGGGGTCAGGAAGGAAGGTAATTGTGGAAGGGAGCTGAGTTCAGCCTGAGACCATGATGTTAACGTGGGATGTTTCTCTCTCAAATTCACCTCCTGATTTTATTCAGTTCACAGCTTCTCTGCGAGCAGCTGTAGCTTTGCCTGCTGGGTGCTTTGGAAACCAACATACTGGGGCCTGTTCGGTGAGGGACAATGCCTGTCTCTGTTTTGGGGGAAAGGGGGCAGAGCCTGAGCCCTCCCTCCAGACACTCCATGATGACCTTGGGCTGGGCGGGGGAGGGGGGGCGGTGGGGTTGGGTGGGTGGGAAGCTCAGCATCCAATTCTGGGTAACTCAGGCACCAAAGCATCCCACCTCGACCTCTCCCCTCCCTGGGTATGTCAGGCTGAGCATACACATGGCAGGGTGCTGCTCCCCAACCCCTGGATGTGTTCCCAGGACGCATCCCAACTCGCTCACACTTGAGAGGTCACCGCTTGTCATTCTGGTGGTAGGGTTGGGGGGGTTTCTGTGCAGAGAGTCTGGTTGGGAACCGGAGTAGAGAAATGGGAAGAGAGAACGAGTCCTAGCTTATGAGTTTTTCCTAGGGAGGGGATGGGGGAGGAGAAAGGATGTACCCTCTCCAGGGGGGTCCGCAGAGGAAGTGGGCTGTGTGTGTGGGTCCCTATGCCTTGAAATAGTTCAGCAGAGACATTTCCTTTCTGGAAAGGTGAAGGATTTATTCCAGTGTGATCCTCTCTCCGAAGATGGGAGCGGGGTGGGCAGGGGCTGGGTCCGAGGGAGGAGGACCGGGTCATCATCCTAAGGGATGTTTGTGGGAGGGTTAGAAGGGGTGGAGGAGGAGGATGCCACCCCAAGATCAGCCACCTGCCTCCTCCTGGTGTCCCCGGGCGGGCCAGCCCTCCGCTCGCCCATGGCACACATTCCTTGGAGCCCGGCTTCCTTTCACTGCTCTGGCCCCCGCAGGGAAGAACAGATTTAGTCTTTTCCAGAAGTGATTAGACCCTGCTGTCCTGTTTCTGTGTGCGGAGTCAGTGTCTGTAGGGGAAACTCTCAGCTCTCCGGTGATGCCAACACCAGCTCAGCTGGACCCCAGAGGGGAGGAAGAGATGGGCGGCCAGGTGGACCAAAGGCTGAGCCGTGCTCTGGGTCTGGGGAGACACTGGACTAGGGGGTGCCCACCTTTTCCCAGCCATGGCCCTGTTTCCCCCCCAGGTCGCTACCTCACCTTCCCCGTTCACCTTCCCCCAGCTGAGGTTCAAGCTCATAAACCACAGGCATGCCCCCTAGCCCCAGCAGTTTCTGCTTTGCTTCCTGGGGCTGTTTATTCAACGAGGGGCTGTGATGTTCTCCCTGGGGCAAGTGCTTCCGCCCAGGCAACGGGCCCCCTCTAGGAGCCATCTCACATTCAAACCCGTCCCCTCCTCCTCACCCGGAGTTGATTCATTAGTGTCCTGGAGAGGAGACTCTCCAAGCGAGAAAGTCTGCCTTTTTTTTTTTTTTTAATTTTAAGTAGCTACCTAGCAGCTGGGACGGAGAGCTCTTAGGGACCTATGGATGTAGTTGGTGGAGTCAGGGATGCCTTGGGTCCTCCCACTCTGCAGGAATGGAGGGGATGGAGGAATTTGGGGTGGGGGGGTCATATGCTCAGGGTTGTGGGCAGGAGAACCTGAGCAGATGGGGCCAGCAATAAAGGAAAAGTGTCAGGAAGCGACCCAACAGCCATCGGGAGGCTCCTTTGTCTTTGAGCTCCTCTGCTTGTTTCTAAAGGAATCAAGAGAACACTCTGTTCCACCTTCTCTCCCTCTAGAAATCCAGAGAGGCCCCTTGCCTGCTGCCTGACCGCGTCTTTGCAATAGCAAGACCCCTCTGCCGGCTGATTTCGTGAATGTTCTTCCCGAATCCGCAGGCAATGAATTGTCCCAGCATTCCCCAAACGCTCCCATTTCTTGGAGCACTGCGAGCTCACTATAATGAATTGATCTAAATAGAGAGTCAACTTGTTTTTTCCTTCAAATAGAGCAGTTGGAAGGACAGGGGGAAAAAATCTTGCCTTGGACTGAAGGTCTGAACATTGCTTGTTTTCTGTTGCCTTGGAGGGGAAAAAAATTGCATGCAGGGAAAGCAGGGAAATTGTAAAGGAATTTAAGGAGGTTATGGAAGAGGGGTTAGGGAAGGACACCCAGAAGACAGGAGGAGGCAAAAATGGCGAAAGGAGGGAGGTAATGGGGTGAGAAGTAGATGTGGTGCCCAGGTCCTGGGCCACATGAATATGCCTTCGATTCCATGGAGGAGCCCTGGTCACCTGCTGGGGGGCGAGATATGTCTCAAACCACATAACCTAAGCCTGTAAGGTGGTACCTTGGACACAGAAGGGCGGCAGAGTTCATTCTGGATTTAGCAGGTCAGCCGTGCACACTGCTTTTCCAGAATCTGGCGCGCTGACAGTTCCGCCTGGTCTGTTGCTCTGCTGTCTTCTTGTCCTCTCCTACCCCGCGCCAGCCCAGAAGGCACGTACGTGCCTGTGTCTCCCGTCCCCACCCACCGCTGACCCCAGGCTCCGAGCGCGTTCCTCGGGAGGAATCCGCTGCTAAGATACCAAGAGTTCTCTCCCCAGTGCTAGACTGCCAAGCCCCAGGTGGAGGAAAAGTCCAATTCACTGTTTTCAACCTCTTTTAATGAGATCAGATTGATTTGGCTGTTGATTCCGATCCAGGGGTTTGGACAGCTGAAGAAGCGAGCTGATGGAAAGAGGTTAGTTTCCCAGCCCCGGGCAGACATGCCCACCGAAGATCCAGAGTAGAAGGGAGCTACACCAGAGGAGGCTTTGTCCTTCCCCCTTGCACTCCCCAATTTCTCCAGGGCCTGGCAGGATCGATTGCTCTTAGATCTTAACTTCCGGCTGCCTTTCCATAGAGTGCGAATCCCCACCACGGGCTGGAAGGGGCGGCCAGCCGCTGGCCGTGGGAT